GGAATAATTTATCTCGCCGCACACAGGCTGCCATGTGGAATTCGCTGCAACCTAGCTGCGGTTCGACGTAACGAAATAATTCATTAGCATGATTGAACGTTTTGTCCCGACGTTTCTCGCGAAACTCTCTCTCGAGACGATCGCGGCAACGCGTTCTTTCTCTCCTCTGTCATCGAGATGGGCCGATCGACGCGAAACTTAAAAATCGCGAAGCGCTGTCGGTCAGTCTCTTTCGTCTGAGAAATGAGAGAAACAAAGAGACTCTGGTTTTGCAACGATTAGCCGCAACACACTTGTTTATTATGTTAATGCGAGGCCATCTTTATCCGCGATAGTCTATCCCTCGGAATTCTCTCCTCGTCTCTCTGCCCATTAAACCGTTTTTTCTCCCTCGACGAAACTTCTTACATTCCCCTCTTTCTCTGGCTTGGCTTCTTGCTAATAAGCTTGCAACGGTGCGTCCCTTACTCTGTCTCCCGCCTCTCTCCTTCCGTTCTCTCTCGTTTTCTCTCGTTCGTCTGTCTTTCCCTTCGCTTCACCCTTTTCTCTTCTTTCTCTTCTCCGTCGTCGGGCATCTTGCTCTCTCTCTCTCTCTCTGTTTCGTCCACGAGGCCCGACTCATCGGGGAATAAAAAACGTTAAAACAGCCGAGTCACAAAAGAAAGATTAAAGTGGAGAGAATATATGGAGAGAGGCATGCGGTCTCTCGGTTGTGTGCACCGCTGTTGTGCCGCGGCTCGCTCGGTCGAGCTCTCACGAGCCAGCCACCGCGGAAACTTCTCTCCGTCCTCTCAAAATTTCTCTTCTCCTCAGTAATCTCGTAGAATTACGTAAATCTCTTGCACCGAGCTTCGACTGGACGCGTGGAATTCTAATTCGTCGGAAGATTGCTTCCTTTCCGACGTGAACTTCGTGAAAAGTCTATGTCTGAAACTCTGTACTTTCCACCGATACGACGTCTATCGTACGTTCCACGAGAACATAATTCGAAGCTTTCCTCTGAAAGCTATTCCTTCGTTTTTGGAAGCGGAGAGCCGCGGAGAGAACGCGCGTGTTAGGAACGGTCTAGAGAGAAGCGCGCCGCTCCGCTTGAGAAAGGAGAAAAGAGAGGGAAGAAGCTCGGAGAGAAGGGCCTCGTGTGCGTTTTAAAATAAAAAGGGAAAAGAGGAAGCAGCGGGAGGTCGAGAAGGCCCGGGCAAAAGAGAGATACGGCCGACATGCCTGGAGCCGAAGAAGACCCGTCCGAAAACAAACAGACTGCTTCGCGGGGTCGTTCGTTATGCGTCCATGGCATATTAATTATTTCCCGACCGGCTCTACCCCTCCCGCCCCCTCTCTGTCTCCCTCATTCTCCGGCCATGTTGCTCGTATTTCTTTCGTTTACATTTTTTTTTTT